CAGGCTGAGGCTGAGGCTGAGGCAGGCTGATGCTGAGGCAGGCTGAGGCTGAGGCTGAGGCTGATGCAGGCCGAGGCTGAGGCAGCCTGAGGCTGAGGCGAGGCTGAAGGCAGACTGAGGCTGAGGCTGAAGCAGGCTGAGGCTGAGGCTGAGGCAGGCTGAGGCTGAGGCTGAGGCAGGCTGATGCTGAGGCAGGCTGAGGCTGAGGCTGAGGCTGATGCAGGCTGAGGCTGAGGCAGGCTGAGGCTGAGGCCGTGGCTGAAGGCAGACTGAGGCTGAGGCTGAAGCAGGCTGAGGCTGAGGCTGAGGCAGGCTGAGGCAGGCTGAGGCTGAGGCTGAGGCAGGCTGAGGCTGAGGCAGGCTGAGGCTGAGGCTGAGGCTGATGCAGGCTGAGGCTGAGGCAGGCTGAGGCTGAGGCCGAGGCTGAAGGCAGACTGAGGCTCAGGCTGAAGCAGGCTGAGGCTGAGGCTGAGGCAGGCTGAGGCTGAGGCTGAGGCAGGCTGATGCTGAGGCAGGCTGAGGCTGAGGCTGAGGCTGATGCAGGCTGAGGCTGAGGCAGGATGAGGCTGAGGCCGAGGCTGAAGGCAGACTGAGGCTGAGGCTGAAGCAGGCTGAGGCTGAGGCTGAGGCAGGCTGAGGCTGAGGCAGGCTGAGGCTGAGGCTGAGGAGGCTGAGGCTGAGGCGAGGGCTGTTGCAGATGCTGGTGATGCTAGGATGAGGCTGATGAGCCGAGGCTGAAGGCAGACTGAGGTGAGGCTGATGCGGTGAGGGGAGGCTGAGGCGGCGGAGGCTTGAGGTGAGGCGGCTGAGGCTGAGGCAGGCTGAGGCTGAGGCTGTGACTGCGACTGCCGTTGCCACTGCGAGTTTCATCGCGAATGCGACTGCGACTGCGAGAACAGCAGAATTCTACAACTGGATTCTCATGTGAATCTTAAGGAGAATTCTTCCAGATATGCTCCTACACATCGCTGTTAGGTTGCTTGGTCGGGATAATTTTGTTTTGTATATATATATATATATATATATTCTCTTTTGCCGATCGGTGCGGGCCCTCGCACCCCTCCCTCCCCCTCCCCCCTGGAGTAGATCTTGGCTGTTTTTGGCGCCTGTTTCGAGCAGGTGGAGTCTGCCCCATAGGATGCACGGTCCCAAACAGCCACACTAAGCAGAGGTCCAAGGCCAGAGCCCCCCCCTTTCCGCCCAATGTCGAAACGCCAAATCAGAAAACGCTCACCATCATCAACATCATCATCATCATCATCATCATCATCATCGTCATCATCATCATCATCATCATCATCATCATCGTCATCGTCAGCAGCATCAGCATCAGCATCAGCATCATCATCATCATTATCATCCTCATCCTCATCCCCATCCTCATCCTTCCCTCTTCCTCCTCCTCCTCATCCGCATCCTCCTCATGATCCTCATCCACATCCTCATCCTCATCCTCATCCTCATCCTCATCCTCATCCTCATCCTCATCCTCATCCTCATCCTCATCCTCCTCTTCGTCCTCGTCCTCGTCCCCTCCTCCTCCTTCTCCTTTTTCTCCCTCTCCTCCCTCTCCAACATTCTGTAGTGTCCGTAGTGGTGGTGGTTGTAGTGGTGGTGGAAAAATCAGACCATCGGGGGGGGGGCGAGATCTCCTGCGTGCAGCTGGCTTCGGCCCCGCCGCCGAGCGGCCGCCTCGAAATTCTTTACGCTTCGCGTATCCCCACCAGCCCATCTCACAGCAGCAACTCTTGCGAAGCATGCCGACAGTCGTGTTTTTCAGGCGTGTGTCCGCTTGGCCCCGCATATCCCCCCTGTTCCTCCTTCCTCCCGCCTCCTTGTACATCCTCCTTGTGGGGGGAGCGGGAGAAGGACGAGGCGGAGGAGGAGGAGGGAGAGAAAGCGCTCCTCGTGGTTTGAGTCGTTTGGGGTTTCTCGTCCTGGTGTGAGTCGTTCGGGCCCTCCTTCCTGGTGTGAGTCGTTCGGGCTCTTCGTGGTGTGAGTCGTTCGGGCTCGTCGTCCTGGTGTGAGTCGTTCGGGCTTCTCGTGGTGTGAGTTGTTCGGGCCCCTCATCCTGGTGTGAGTCGTTCGGGCCCCTCCTCCTGGTGTAACTCGTTCGGGCTCCTCGTGGTGTGGGGGGGGGGGGGGGGGGGGGGGGGGGGGGGGGGGGGGGGGGGGGGGGGGGGGGGGGGGGGTGGACGTGGAGTGGGAGTGTTCGGAGCGCGTCCACCGCGTCGTGGTGTAGTCGTTCGGGCTCCTCGTGGTGTGAGTCGTTTCGGGCGACGCCTCGTCATCTGGATGTGAGTCGTTGGGCCTCGTACTGGTTGAGTCGTTCGGGCTCTTGTAGGTGTGAGTCGTTCGGCCAGTCCTGGTGTGAGTCGTTCGGGCTCCTCGTGGGGCCTCTTGGGGGCATCTTGGTGCCTCTTGGGGCCTCTTGGGGGCCTCTTGGGGGCCTCTTGGGGGCCTCTTGGGGGCCTCTTGGGGCCTCTGGGGGCATCTTGGGGGCCTCTTGGGGGCCTCTTGGGGGCCTCTTGGGGCCTCTTGGGGGCCTCTTGGGGGCCTCTTGGAGGCCTCTTGGGAGCCTCCTGGGGGCCTCTTGGGGCCATCTTGGGGCCTCTTGCGACCTCCTCAGAAGCGCCAATGAGAGCTGCCCTCTTGAGAAGAACAAAATGAGCCCAAAACCTTCGTAAAAGCAATGATTTTGCTATGAAGGAAGATGAGCGCGGCCCCTCAGAACGCCACAATGGGGTCGAAACCGTAGTAAAATCAATGTTTTTGGCTTGAAAGAAGAGCAGAGGGGCCAAACTGGGCCCCCCCGTCGGGGCCAGAATCCTCGTGAGGGTCGTCGTTTTTTAGCCCTCCAAGGAGTCAAAAAAGACCCCCCTGACGACGCTCGGCCCGCCCTCTCCAGGCCCAGGGGGAGGGGGTAGGGGGAGGGGTAAACCCCTCCCCGAAGGGGAAGAAGGGGGGTTGAGAACAGAGAGAGCTCGCTAAACCACTCACGCCCAAAGGGCTGGTGGGACTCTGGCGCATCTCCGGCGCCAGGAGGAGCAGGGGGTTTCCCCTGCGCTTGCTGATTCGCGCCCCCCCCTTCTCCTCCTCCGCCTCCTCCTCCTCCTCCTCTTCCTTCCTCCTCCTCTCTCCTCCTCTCTCCTCCTCTCTCCTCTCTCCTCCTCTCTCCTCCTCTCTTGTCCTCCTCCTCCTCCTTCTCCTCCTCTCTTCTCCTCCTCCTCCTCCTCCTCCTTCTCTTTCTCCTCCTCGTCCTGCTCCTCCTCGTCCTCCTCCTCATCCTCCTCGGCTTTTGAATAAGGCAGTGTCGCGTGCAATCTGACGGGAGGTACTCATCACGCGCATCGTGACTGGGGCAGCGGCTATAATTCACTGAACGATCTGGCGATCTTTGCAAAGGTGTTGCTGGAAGGGGGCTTGATTCAGCGCATTTGCGTATTTGATCTGGATTTGCATCAGGGCGACGGCACTGCGGCACTCTGCGCCGATGATTCACGCATTTTTACGCTCTCGATGCACTGCGGCGACAATTTTCCGTTGGTTTCAGGGGACTTGCGCACCTTGGCCATGACAGAGGTGATCTGGACGTTGCATTTCCTGCCGGCGGTGGTGACGAGGCCTTCAGTCGTCAGTTGCAAGACCATTTGCCATCTGTTCTGGAGCGCTTCAGACCTGATCTTGTGCTTTATCAGGCTGGTGTGGACATACACGAGAGTAATCCTCTGGGACAACTTCAGGCCACCGACAAGGGCATCGAGCGCAGAGATCGCTTCGTTTTAGAAACCTGCGGCGGCTACGCCAACAACAGCGCGGCGGCCCGATTGCAGTTGGCGCAGAGACATGCACGTCTATGCCGTGTTACAGTTTCCGTGTGGGAGCATCAGCAGCAGCAATCTGCCTAAAATGCGTTGAGCAGCACACAATTCAAAAGCGTTTGAGTGATGGGCGCTTCGACGAAATTTCGGCGCCTGCGGCGGGCTTCTTCAGAGCCTCGCAGACTGCCGACGACCTCGCCGTCCCCTCACTCTTAAACGCACCTGCGGGGGCTATGGTAAGTATTCATTTGTGGTGTCCGTGCTGTTTGTATAAATTGAAAGCCCTGGGGGTTTGTTGAATAATCCCAAGGGTAATTAGCACCTGCTCTGCCCCTTCCTCCCTCCCTCGATCGCTCCCTTCCATCCTCCTCGTCCTTCCTCGCCTTCTTCGTCTTCGTCGCCACATCCTCCCCTCTCCGTCCAGGTGGCCCCGGCGGCCACAGCCGCCGCGTCAGGCGGCACAGGCGACGTGGGTCCTTTGCTGCAGGCTGGACAGGAGAGGAGCGAGGAGGAGCGGGATGAACAAGCAGGAGGGTGAGGATGAGGATCATTTCGTTATCCACTGCCAATGGTCAAGGTCGAACAGCACAAACCGACACTTTTGTTTGTATTGTGCATTTGCAAGTGATCCCTTTCAAAAAGGACGATCCCGCCCAGGTCAACGGTGATCGCAGCGCAGTTAGGTGTAGGTCCCCTGTTGGGCCTTGTTCGCACCTGGCGGCGAGTGCTGTGAGACGTGGGTCGAACGAATGGGGGGTTAGGGAAAGGGGGGATGCGAATTCTGGTTCCAGACCCGCCTGCCGCCATGCGTTTTTTTCGATACATGGGCGCCTCCATTTCCTCGGAGGCGCCAGGGAAGCCAACTACTTGAGCTGATTCGCTAATCGCCCCAGTCGGTGGCAGGTAATTTTTGGTTCCCAGATCGCAGTCTTTTTTAGGCGCCTTTCTACTTCAAGAGTGGAGCGGTTCTGCCTCTTCTCTCCTTTTCAGGGGGCGGGCGGAAACCCAATCTACTTCCAGCGCCTTCCACTTCATGTTTCCAGCACCTGGGCACCTGGGCATCCAGGCACCCGGGCACCCGGGCACCTAGACGTGCCGCCGCAATCGGCGCCACCAGTGAATCCGCCAGGACCTTTACAGAGGCAAGCTCTGATTGGGGAAGAAGACGAATAGTAATACCAACAATAATGATATTCAGAAGACATACTGGTAACAATAGTAATAACAATAATACGAATAAGAAGATAATAGTACGACGAATAAAAATAATACTTTTTACGAATGATAAGAAGATTACTAAGTATAATGATAACATCAGCTTGTGATTAACAAAAGGCCCCCCCGCCAGGGCTGATGAATAGACCCTGCGGGGCGCGAACCCTTTTTTTAATCACGCGCGCCAGGGGGTCGTCGCTGGCGCCGCCGAGGGGATCGTGTACCCCCCTGCATGACAGCCTCAAAACCATTGCCTTTCGTAAAGAAATTATTATAAGGGTCGTACACATCCGAGGCGAATTTTCGTTCCCCCTCTCAGGCGTCGTCGTCGTCGTCGTCGTCGTCGTCGTCGTTGTCGTCGTCGTCGTCGACTACAGCGGGCCTGCGCAGCAGCACCCCCAGCCCATAGGGCATCCGCAGTGCGTCGTCGTCGTCGCCGCCGTCGCCGTCTGCCGTCCGCCGTCCGTCGTCCTCGTCCTCGTCCCGTCGCCGTCGTCGTCGACGAAGAGAGCGGCCGCTGGAAACGGGCGCAGGCACGGCGGGGGATGGCGGCGACGACGGCGACAGGGGGGGAGGAGGACTACCCGCCTTGCTCGGGTCGGATGAAAGGCTGGGAAAAAAAGGGGGGGTTGCAAAGCCTGCTGCGCGCAGCTGATTTCGGTCGCCCCTCCGAAAGTCCAGTCCTCGACGCATGGCGGTTTTCGGTGCCAAGAGGCGCTTGGAAAATCGGCGACGTGAGCTTCTTGGCAACTCCCTTCATTGCTGCGCCCAGCTTACGTTCAGCCCGCCTTGCCCGCAGGCCCGCATCGGTTCGACAGAAAAAGGGGCGCCCTGGCTCGCCCTTGCCTCCAAACACCCCCCCGTTGCCCCTCGTTGGCGGCCGGGCGTCGGCGCCAATCACCGGCGCCGCCCCGTTGATTTTCAATCTGGCGGACGCCGCCCTGCGATTTGCCCGAGCAGGGGAACTATTTGTTTTCAACGCGCGCCCCTCGCTGATTTGTTAATCTCAAGTTGACATTAAGAAAACGAATAATACGAATATTACGAATGTTGATGATAGGACAAATCGGAAGAAGAACGCTCAACATACTACTCATACCAATAATAGGAGTAATGATAACTATATGGGGACTAGTAATGGGAAGAAGACAAGTAGGACCGATAGTACTACGAATATTAATCGTATCAATAATGCTAGTATTTATGCTTCTACCCATGATATGAATATTGCTAAGACAGCGAGTAATACAATAATATGGTTATCACGAGGGAAACCAATAGTACTAATATTAGTAATAATGGGAGTATTCATAATAATGTTACTAGTAATAATAGTTGTTAGAAATTAATAATAGTTATTAGTAATAATAAGAATGGTTAAAAAAACAAATCATACTGATAATGCTACGATTTATAACACTATTAATATGAATCGTACGAATAATTCTAAACAGTCGAAGTAAGCAGACTAGCGCGAAAAAGAAGAAAACAAAGACGAACAGGAGGAGGAGGAGGAACAGGAAGAGGAGGGGGAGTTGGAGGAGGAGGCGGAGGAGGAGGAGGAGGGGGAGGAGGAGCAGGAGGAGGAGGAGGAGAAGGAAGACGAGGAACAGGAGGAGGAGGACGAGGAACAGGAGGAGGAGGAGGAAAAGGAAGAAAAGGGGAGGAAGGGGAAGGGGAGGGGGAGGAGGAACAGGAAGAGGAGCAGGAGGAGGAGAAGGAGGAGGAGGAAGAGTTGGAGGAGGAGGACAATGGGGAGGAGGAAAATGAGGATGGAAGTGCGGAGGGGGAACATGAGGATGACGATGATGATGATGCTGATGATGCTTATAATGATGAGGATGCTGATGATGATGCTGCTGCTAATCTTGATGATGATGCTGATGATGATGGTGATGATGATGGTGCTGAAGATGATGATGATGCTTTCGTTGATGATGATGATGATGATGATGATGGTGATGGTGATGATGATGATGATGATGGGGAGGAGGAGGATGAGGATGAGGAAGAGGAGGAACATTTGGAGGAGGAAGCGGAGGAGGAGGAACATGAGGAGGGGAAGAGGAGGAGGAGGAGGAGAAAATTGAGGAGGAGAACCCTGATGATGCTGCATATGCAGATGATGATGCTGAACATGATGATGCTGATGCTGATTTTGATGATGATGTTGCTGCTGGTGATGATGATTATGCTGATGAAGATGATGCTGCTGCTGATGATGATGGTGATGCTGATGGTTATGATGATGCTGATGATGATGGTGTTGTTGATGCTGATGATTATTATGATGATGCTGATGATGCTGATGCTGATTATGATGCTGATGATGCTCATGTTGATGCTGATGTTGATTATGATGCTGAGCATGCTGATGATGATGATGGTGGTGATGACGATGGTGCTGATGGTGATCATGATGTTGCTGCTGGTGATTATGATTATGATGCTGATGATGCTGATGCTGATGCTGATACTGTTCATGCTGATGCTGCTGATGATGCTGCTGCTGATGATGATGATTCCGATGATGATGCTGATGATGATGTTGCTGATTCTGATGGCGATGCTGATAGTGACGATGCTGATGATGCTGATGATGATTGTGCTGATGTTGATGATGGTGCTGCTGTTGTTGATGCTGAGGATGCTGATGATGGGATGCTGGTGATGCCGATGATGATGTTGATGCGGATGCTGATGCTGATGCTGACGATGATGCGGCTGCTGTTGATGATGCTTCTGCTGATGATGATGACGACGACGATGATGATGACGATGATGATGATGCTGCTGCTGATGATGATGATGATGATGACGATGCTGATGATTGTGATGATGATGCTGATGATGATGGCGATGACGAAGATGATGATGATGATGATGATGATGATGATGATGATGATGATGATGATGATGATGATGATGATGATGATGATGATGATGATGATGATGATGATGATGATGATGATGATGATGATGATGATGATGATGATGCTGATGCTGATGATGATGATGATGATGATGATGTATGATGATGATGATGATGATGATGATGATGATGATGATGATGATGATGATGATGATGATGATGATGATGATGATGATGATGATGATGATGATGATGATGATGATGATGATGATGATGATGATGATGATGATGATTATGATTATGATGATTATGATGATGATGATGATTATGATGATTATGATGATGATGATGATGATGATGATGATGATGATGATGATGATGATGATGATGATGATGATGATGATGATGATGATGATGATGATGAATGATGAATGATGAATGATGAATGATGAATGATGGATGATGATGATGATGATGATGATGATGATGAGAGAGGAGGAGGAGGAGGAGAGAGGAGGAGGAGGAAGGAGGAGAGGAGGAGGAGGAGGGACAGGATGAGGAGATGAGGAGAGGAGAGGAAAGCGAGGGTGGGTTGTGAGGAAGGGGCGGAGGAGGAGGAGGTTGAGGAGGTGGAGGAGAGCAGGAGGAGGAGTAAGGAGGAGGAGGAGGAGGAGGAGGCGGAGAAGAGGGGGACTAGGAGCAGGAGGAGTTGGGGAGAAGGAGGAGGAGGAGGAGGAGGAGGAAGGAGGAGGAGATGAGGATGAGGAGGAGGAGCAGGAGGAGGAGGAGGAGGAGGCGGAGGAGGGGGAGGAGGAGGGTGAGGAGGAGATGGAGGAGAATGAGGAAAAGGAGGAACATGAGGAACATGAGGGACAGGATGATGCTGTTGGTGTTGATTGATGGTGCTGCTGCTGATGATGATGATGATGATGAGAGTGAGGATGACAATGATTTCGAGGATGCTGCTGCTGATGC